TCGATTTCGAAGGGTTGCGACACAATCGATAACCTTCGAAATCTAACGTTGCGATATAATTTCGAAGGTTTTCAAATAAATATAATTACTGATGTATTATTCTTCTCAATTCGTAAACTAAAGTAATTGTTTACAAGTTACTAGTTATAAATTGCCTTTTGGAAAATAAAATTAGCCCAAAAGGTCAACTAGTAACAGTGCAAATCAGTTGGTGTCGTCTACATATGCTACCACTGTTACTTTCATTTGCATCAATTTAGTTGTTCCATATCTTAGGTCATCAATTCATCTTTCTTTCATTGTATATCCCATGCCTGATTCTGCGATTCTGTATATTAGTGGGTCATAAAAGATCCTCCATAAAATTGGTGAAATAATATCTCCCTGATCGATACCATCTTCTATCCTATATGCCTCTGTATTTAATACAACGTTTTCTCTATTATGTAACAATTTCTCTATTATGTTAATAAATCCCACTGGCATTTTGATTCTTCGTAGTGCTTTTAATAAACAGTCAGTATTAACTGAGTCAAAAACCTTACTCATATCTTGAAACATTAATCACAATTCCTTATTTTTTACCCTTGCGTCTTCCATAATATTATTTATAATGTGAATTGGGTTCTGTGTATCGTCACCTGGTAAGCCCACATAGTTATGTCCTGATAAGATTTTGTTGTTACTGAAGATATCTGCTAGTTTGTTATTTAAAATTTTCGTGAAAATTTTCCTTCCCGCTTCTAATAGAGTTATTGGTCTTGTTATATTTAGGTTATTTCCCCAGTCGACCGTCTTTGGAATTGGGTAAATATACCTCCACTTAAATTCCTCCAGAATGTCATTTAACTTGAAAGTCATATTGATGATGTCTCTTAGTACTTCTATACCCTCGTTAGGGAGATATTTGAACCATTCATATTGTAAACCTGATTGTCCAGCTGCTTTTTTATTAGGTAGAAAGTGAATGACTTCTTTTAATTCGTCTATACTCACTTCTGTTAGTAAGTTTTTATAATTGTCAAAATCAATTGTTGATATTGGTTTGTACTACTCCTCCCACTCTTTCATCATTGTTTCATTGGTGTTCCTCTTTCTTGTCTAATTTTGAAAATGGTTTCGCACTGTTGTTTTAATTTCTTTTTCATCCGTAATAATTTTTGTTATACTATTATTCTCTGATTTGACGATTAAGCGATCCATAATAATAGATTTTCTTGGTTTGTCTAGTACACTATTAATCATTTTTTTTGGACTTTCTTTAAGATTCTCCCATCTTTCTTCTATGGCTTTTTGAATTTTTTTAAAATTTTCCTTCTTTTTCTCTGCTCTTGTGATTGTTTGGAAGTGTATACTTTGTTCTTTAAATTTGTATAATAATTCATCAGGAAATTTTTAAAGGCAAAATATTTCGAAAATTTTCGAACTGTAAATCTCCGGAATTTTTTGTTTCATTTATCTCCGGAATTTTTTGTTTCATTTATTTTCGAAAATTTTTGCATATATTTTCGTAAATCTCCGTTTATTTTCGAAAATTTTTGCATATATTTTCGTAAATCTCTGTTTATTTTCGTAGATATTCGCGAAATTATTATAAC